AAACACATGGAGTGCATCTTCTGAATGAGAGACTGTTGGTGAAGTTTGTTCATCCGAACCTCCCATTTCAACAGCCAAGGTCCCACCAACATCTGGAACATCAGTACCAGCACTACATTTGTCTTTAGAAACTATTTGTTCTTCGGACCTCTTCTTAGTAGCCTGTTTCTTCTTTGCATTATTACGATTCTTCTCTTTAACTTTATTCATCAGTTTCCAAGCTTCAGAGCTGGGTCACATCCGAGAAACTCCAGCAAAGGAGGTTAAAGATAGAAAAGATAATAATCCTGCAGCACCAAATTATAAAGGAAGTGGTTTGGGAAAAGACAAAACCACCGCTTCAGAAATCACACTTCCACGCGGACACAGTAGATGAAACAAACACACTTGACCACTATGGAACTTCTAGATGCGTGGCTTGTTGAGAAAGAAGCAATGTCCACCGTGAAAGAACACGGGGTAATAGCACCAAAAAGGAGACAAAACCCACCGCTTGAAAAAATCTATGACGAAACAAACCCGAGGATCCAAGCACTAGGCAGGAACTCAGGCAGAAAAAACTCCTACAAAGGCAGATTACCTTTCACCCGCAATGGCCGAGCCACAGGGAGGCTCCCTTGGCGGTTGAAAGTAACGAGTGCCCTTGGAGAGAGAACGAAGAAAGTTAAAGTAAGAGCAAAGCAATATTGGTGTTAGTAGTCTATATGCATTATTGCTACTATATGTAGTGTCAAGGGTGATCACATCACCAAAGTATTCATAATTCATTATCATTCTCCCATATATCTAATAGATATTTGTGATTTGTTCTTGAACATCTAATTGGACTATACTATAGAATGATGGGTTTTCCATTGGTCCTTGCTGAAAGTACCATGTTAAATTGCCTGTCTCCCTATATGCCTTATTTCTCAATCTGTTGCTAGAAAGATAATACTTTTTGTCCTAGTGTGTTAAGGATTGCTTTTTCACCAATTTGTCTACTCAGTAATTCAATGAAGTCCTTTGCTTAAGACCTAGATCATTAGCCTGATCAATATCATGAGCTTAAACTTTAGATAAATTTCGCTGAGATATTAGCATGTGAGTTATTTCTGGGAGATGCAAAGGATGCATATATGCTCACTAACAAAATCATAAATGTGATATTTCTCAATCTCTTTCATATACCTCATTACTTCTTGTTTCAATTCAAGGATTAACCGTTAAATAATCTCATTTGTTTGCTCTACAAACAGAATCCTTGCAACATACATATGTCTAATTGTTGAAATCCTTCCATCTTTGCTTTTATCAAAATATTGTTTTCGAACATTAAATCCAATTTTCCCACCATAATCAATCCAAAATTTGCATGCCTTTTCAAAAGTACTAAATGTATTGCCTTTTCTAAGTTGCCACTTTAGTTGATATTGATATGAAGATTTCTTTTATAAATCTAATATAAATAATTCAAGTGGGAGATTGTTGAAATTTAATTTCATATGGACTAACTTATATCATTATTAATTTAATTTTAATAAAACTAATATTGATATTAGTCAGTAGAGTTAGACTTGGTTCGTTGTCCATTACCATTATTGAATATTGTTTTATGGTCATTAGTTATAGGGAAAAGTATTTCTACAGTTACTGGAGATAAAGTTATCTCCAGTGAGCTCAAAACAACGTCGTTTTAGGGTTATAAGATTAAAAAATTATAATGATAAAGACTAATATAACTCTGCAATATGTTAGAATTACAAAAATACCTTGATTTCTATCCCAAAATGATGTCATTTTGGGCTCACAAGAGATAACTTATCTTGAGAAATCCTTTACCATTAGTTATATGTGGGGTTTTTTTTTTTAAAAAAAAAAAAAAAACTCATGTGTGGGTTTTGATTATGTGCATCGTATCCGCGTTATTTACAATGGGCCGATAACAATATGGGCTCATAAGGAATGGTCCCTACTCTCTATATGGCTAAGTAGTATACGTGGCCCATTGATCTTATGCATAGGGTTACACACCTTTTTGCAATACTTGCTAGACAAAGAGAGAAGTGCTCTCCCTTTCATGTTTGTGTTCCCATGCATATATCCTTTATCATGGAAGGCTCTATTGCTCTTTCAGGTAGTATTCTAAACCAAATCAGGTAACTGTCATGCTTATAATGATTTACAGACTTATGTATGATATGGATTTTGTATCCTTTTGATTTTGTTCACACAAATCCTTCATTGGCATCCCAACATTAAAAAAAAGTAAATTTAAAGATGAAAAAAATATAACAAAACATTAACTTTTTCCAAAATATATCATAATTAAAAGGGAAGAGTTAAATTTACAATTTTTTTTTACAAACTATACTATGTACTATAGGTAGTACATTGTGTGCTGAAGTGTACTAACTACCCCTAATACATAATGTCGTTTATAACCAAAAAGTTTATAAATATATCTTTCCCCTAATTAATATGTATAAAACTATCACAGATGTATCATATTTTTTCCTTAGGCATCGCCTATTAGCGTTTAAATGTTGTTTCAACCATAGACTATGAACAAAATTAGCCATACTGTACAACTTTCATTTCAATTATCTTGCAGAATTGACAAAACACAAAATCAAAGTAAAATTACATTTTCTTTTATGTGCATCATTTATTCCTTTTGGCCTTTGGTGTTTCTTGATATCGTTGGTATCTTTCACAAATTCTAAAATTCTAATATTAATACAGAAGGTTTGCTCTGTCTCTGCTCAAGTTCCACCCATTCTACAAGTGAATGTGGTAAACAACTTAGTCTTGGGGTTTTGATAATCACATGGTGCTAAATGTGTTTCTCTTTTAGTGAATGTTGGAAGCATAATATCAGAATGACATAGCAATACTCCTTGGACCCACTACCTATTATTGGTTTTGCGTCTTGTAGCTTTTCTTCACACAAATGAGGCTCCTTTGAGAGTTTTAAGTTTATTTCTATTTCATTCCTTCTATTAGTGGACAAAGAGAGCTTTTGTATTTGTGTATTTCTTTTTTTTATATTCTTGTTTGAGATTTCAAATTAGACAGTGTTTGGTTAGGAGTTGCAAGCTCTTCTCTACTCTAATAATACAAGATGCTTCTAATAATTTAATTTGAAAAAGAAAAAAAAAAACTTTTTACACGTTTCTATTTCTTTCACATTTTGTATAGTTACAACGCTTAGGAGGGTCAATTCTCCTAAAACTGAATAGGGGTTTGAGTCACGAAAGAATTTTATCTCCACTAAGTCAATTTGGCTCAACTTAGATTAGTCACCAGTCACCACTCAAAGTGACTTTTGGAAACCAAAAATCTCAAATAAAAATAAACATTTGGGTAGTGGTAGAATTACAGTATATGTGTAGAGAAAATGAAGTGTGCATAACTGTAATCTAATAATAAACTAATAAAGACTTACAAATTTAAACTAATTTGCGTGTGGACCTTACTGATAGAACTGTTGGGTTTGTGTTTTTTTACTAAAGCCCAAATGAGTTATTAGTATGAGAAGAGCCCAAAAAATCTAGAAGTCCAATGAGCTTAGAGCTAGGGTTTTCTGGAATTCATGTAAATACTACCACTTAAGTCATTATCACTTAAGTCATCAACGTCTTAAGTCATTTGTGAGAAAGAGGCAAGCTCGGATCTGATTAGTGCCCACACGCTTCCCCTTCTTGCTCGAGAGATAGTTTGGAAGCTTTGCCAGAACACCTGTTCGTGCTGTGACGCAGCAGTTCGTGAGTTCGCACTGTCACGCAAAGGAACAAGGAGTGTGGAGCATCTCAGAGATCTGCGCCAATAAGAGGTAAATGATAAAACCATGATGATCCTTTAACATCCATACCACAATGGTCTTAACGCTTCCGCATGATGCAATTGCTCCTACAAGAACTCGTGTCCAAACACCCCTACTTGCACCACCCTACTAGTCAACAATGTGTGTGTGGAATGTATCCTTTTATGTGTGATTTTACGGTAGTTATTTTTTCCACCCTATATTCCAATATTTTTTCTTTTTCATCTCTTATCATTGTTTATAGACTAATCATTTGAAATCACATATGAGAGGATCCACTTCCGTGTGTGTGAGATAGCATCGTTGATTAGTATTCAACCATTTGTGCCATATTATACTCCAAGCAAGCATGGTGTTACTCACACACAACTTTCATCCATCTTTTCCTTTCTCAATTTTTTTTCTCTCTCCCAGAAAACACTGTATACTATGATTAGTCTATTTGTTTGTAATAATTAAACAATACTTCTTTTGTCAAAAAGAAGAAACTATTGGTGATGGAAATTCACCAAATGAACATATTTTGGTCATGAGATGTTGTTATGGATATTCTAAATTGTTTGTATGAAATTGTATCTTTGGAGAAGGGGAAGATTAAAGGAAACTTCATCCAACTTTTTGTAAATTTCGTTTTGAATTGTTTTGCAAGTTAACAACGTTTATCCACTTCTTGGATAACATAATGTTGACTAACAAGGCTTATGACACAACCATTCATACCAACTTTGTTGATTTTTCATATTGATTATTTTGCCAGCACTCAAATGAAAAGCGTGAATGTGTTTACATTGGCCTTTTGATCCATTTGGTGTAAAAAAGAAATTTTGTATTGCACTGACTCAAAATTCAAACATTTTACCAAAATAATACAGTGGAACATGTATGGAGGTGTCCGCGTTTAAGTCGCACATAGAAAAGATGTGCAACTTGTACATAGTCGAATGCCCGCATACCACATTGTCGCTCTGCAAGTTACACATTATCCATGCATGACTTGAATGCGTACACCACCATGCACAACTTGCGGCGCCTGCCACATGACAAGCATGCTTTCGCCCATGAACAAGTTGTGCACCTCCCCCACACTCGACTTAAACGTGCATACCTCATGTGCATTTCACAACATTATTTGTAAAATTTTGGATTTTCAATCAATCCAGTAAAAAGTTTACATAACTATGGTCAAAAGCTCTATTTCATTACCTTAAATGGTGTAAGTATTGACAATACAATTTTTCATTAGAAGTTCAGCAGTTTTTTGAGTGAAAAGAAACAAAATATACTTATACTATTCTGATGCTGAAACTACAAAGCTCACATTCTGTAAACATTTATCTTCTAGGCTTTTAGCAAATATACATCAACACAAAAAGTGAAAAACCTCTGTATTGACACTAATGGAATGTCATTCTTCTAGATGCTAAAGGTGAGATGGGAGATCCATCACTACTTTGAGAGTCCCCTCTCCATGCATCTTGGACTTGAGCAGCAAACTGCAAATTCCACAAAATATCCTCTAAAGAGGGCCTATCTTCTGGCTCTTTAACTAGGCACCTCACACAAATCTCCATCATTGTCCTCAATGATTGATCCAAGCATGCCTTGCTAACTGCTGAATCTATAATGCTCCTCCTAGCTTCTTCATCAGCTGTTATGCTTTCTTGCAACTGCCTCATGATGCCATCAATGGAAGCAGTGTCATAAAATTGCAAATGATTTATATTGAAATGGTATTGTTGATGAAAACTCCTATTATATTGCAAATTAACCATTTATTTTGATGCCCTATGATATGAGTCTGTGAATTAAAATCTGAACTCTCCTTGTTCCAAAAGCCTTATCCATTCCTAGTTAATTTATACCTCAAATTATCCTGCTTATTGTTTGTGTGAAATTTCTTTTGACATTTGATAAATCTCTTTGGTGGAATGATATATTCAAATATAATAAATTCATACCAACCATATGCATACATAGATTTGTGTAGCAAGATATAGCTGGCAAAGGTGTTTCAGAGAAAAATCTAGTAAAACAGAAAATGAAATTATGGGATTTATTATAATTTGTGAAATAAAATATGTTATTGGTTATTTGATCTAGAACATTATCTGGAAATTGGTTTCCTTTTTGTTTGATGACTCTTTCAAAGTACTATTATTTTTCTAGTGATAACAGACTTACACTCTGACTTAAGCATCAGATTCATCCTTACATGGATGTCTGGATCATACCAAAGTTCTCTAATTTTGAATAATTAAATAAAGAGTTTAAATAAAAAATAAAATTGGGAAATAATAAATAAATCAGAATCCCCTTTATTACCAGATCCTTTAAAGTGTTCACATTCCTTGACTTTATTGTCCTTCCTAGAATGAGCTCCAACAGTATTACTCCAAAATCATATATATCAGCTTTGTCTTCATTTTTTACACTGCAAAACCACACATTCTTTACATAAACAGCTTTCACATTTATTTTTATAATCAACTATCACAAGTATCTTCGGCATGAAAACATATCATATGGTATGTAAAGTTACATCATGATGAATCCTCTTTTCCATTGACAAAAGTTGAGTGCATGCTACTCAAAACCAGATTAAATTTCTATCACACACCTTTTGTTAACACTAGGACTTTTGAATCCACTAAGAGGATTTCCTTGACTAACCTGCAAAGATTAGCAAGGGTGAATACTAACTCAAGTCTTTTATCCAAGGAAAATAAAAGACCATACTTACTGGTTAAACATGAATTTTTTCCATCATAAAAGAAAACATAATCATTAATAATTATTTTCTTCATACCTTTCCCATGTTAGATAACAAAGGCAGGTTATAACTGCTGATTTTTGCAACAAAATTCTGGTCAAGTAAAACATCTGTTATTTTCAGATTGTTTGAATATGCACCAGGGACAATCCCTCTATGCAAAAATTGTATGCCCTTTGCTATTCCAATTGCAGCTGCTATGCGTTGGGTCCAAGTCAGGGACTTTCTATAATGTCCTTCTGTCACATAACATGTTAAGATAGAGGATATCAGAAATGATATTACTCTCTCAAATCTCAATCTTCCATTACAACTTCATGGTAACTGAAATGATTGATTTAACATAAAAGCTTATTGGGTATTTACTGCTCAGATATAAAATTTTTTGGATATTATCTACAATTCATCGATTCCTCGACTAGTCCAATTCGAGCCAGGTAGGACCACATGGGCGGCAAAGCTCTTCCTACCAAGTTTTAATACAACTGCATTCCTAGGGACTTGAACTCGAGACCACTGGTCAAGCTAGAACAACCTCTTACCAGTTGATCCACGTGGTTGGTGGTAGATATAAATTTAAAACTTCAAGAGAAATTCTCCTATCCATTATTTTCTGTTTCTTGTTAGAATAATACCATTTTTACACTCCAATTTGAGAAATTAGTTTTTATGAATTACCTGAGATCCAGCTCTTGAGTGTGCCATTAGGTATGTACTCAAAGACAATGAATATTCTGCGGACACTTGAATCATCTAAATAACATTCAAAACAATGTCCAAGAGCGCTTGCTAAATGATGATGCCTGTATTTTGATATCAGCTCTATGTAGTGCATAAAGTCTTGAGTCCTGTAGCTTTTGGTCATTTTCACACTTCTAATGGCAACAAGTGAACCATCCTTCAGTTGACCTCTGTTCATCTGAAGCATATAAGAAAAAACACAATCTTAAAATGAAAAACATGTCAATGGTTAGAAATAGTATTTGGTAAAACCGGTTTATGTTTCTGTTACAGGACTGAACTGGTAGCCCAGAAACATTTTGTCTCATAAGAAATAAAAATAAATTGTGTTATCAAAACATTTTTTTCCATTAACTCTCCACACACAAACAGAAATAAAATAAAAAATTATTTCTCTCCGTAACAGAACAATTATCATGTAGACCCTTATTTTTCTAGTGCAGGTTGGGAATGATATATTATGACATGATCATGTAGTAGTCAGAACATAGATGTCATATAAAAAGTAAAGTCAAATATTAACATTTTCACCATGCAGACAGTATTTTTTTGGGGGGGGGCTTTCCAACAGGTTCATAGGAAACCCAACTAGTCCGACTCGAGCACAGTTGGACCAATACAGGGGGTGACTTTGTCAACATCATTTTCTTCATTCCCAAGACCATTGATTTAAGTAATTAGTATTTGACAGAAAGTGACCAACAGCATCCACAAGCAGGTTTTGTTCCTGTTGGTGGTCCTTCATTGGTAGATTAATTCCCAACCCCTTTCATATTGCAGTTAAATATTATAAGCACTTTGTCAGAAACTTATATTTTCATATAAAAAAATATTTGTTAGAGATATATAAAACTACTAATGTAACCTCACCTAACAGTTTAAGCTTTTGAGTTGAATTAGTTCTTTACATGATATCAGAGCTATATAAAACCATTAATGTAACTTCACCCACTAGCTTATGTAAAGAACCAATTCAATTCACTAACTTAAGCTTTTAGATTGAATTGATTCTTTACATGGTATCAGTGCCTCAGTGTCACGGGTTCGATCCTCACTATCCCTTACTTTCTCTTGTAGAATTTCTTAGTATAGGTAGGTAGGCCTGTGCATTGTCCACCCTTTAAACCCAGTGGACTCTCGTGTGAGGGTGTGTATTAGAAATATATAAAACCATTAATGTAGCCTCACCCAATAGCTTAAGTTTTTGGGTTGAATTGGTTCTTTACAACATTCTAACAACAAAATTATGTGGACTGAAGAAGCCCTTTTTTCAGCTGGGCCTAATTCATCAAAACCATGAGTGCAAGAACACATTTACTAAACCTTACGGTTCAAAGTAAATATTCCTCTATATAGACATTAACTTAAACAACTTGCATACCTTTCCTTGAGAACCTTCACCCATAAAAGAAGCTGTATCAAAGTTGTTTGTAGCTGCCGTAATCTCTTCCAGGGAGAAAGCTCGATAAGGTGGAAGGCCAAATGTTCCAAAATTCTTTGTTTGAGGTATATACCCTTAATTACAAGGAAAATAAATGGTTGTCATCTATCTTTAATATGGAAGGATACAACGAAATTTATAAATCAATTTTAGTTCTTCTATTTCATCTTCTCCAACAAATTATTGCCAACCAGTAACGGCAATTCATTGATATCAAGATTCTGATAAGCATGCAATTAAACTTATGTTGTTTATGAAGGCCTAGTACATGTAGTTTACAAGGGGGAACATTTCTATTCGTAGTATTTGTTTAACTTTTTCCTATGTTCAATTAATGAACATATATCAGCAATAAAAGAATTGATGAATATTCCTTAGATTGAAATTTATTTGTCTAATTCTTATCATCCTAATCTTTCAATATATGCTACTAGTAGATTTCTGATACATAAAACCAAATTTTGCTCGTGACCGGAACAGATTTAAGTCTAGGAATTAGTTTTTCTGCAAAAATACAAGGGTAAGGCTACGGGTTTAAGACCGAGTACAATTAACCCTCATCTTTACCCCCCATAAGTCAGGGAGCCTTGTGCACCAAGGTTTGCCATTTTTTAAAGTTTCATGCAGCCACATAAGGCTGAAGACCGGATGCAATTTTATAATTCCAATAAGGCAAGAAACAAGCAAAGCTAAAATACCTAAATTAAATCTCCAAATAACATCAAGTTTTAAGCATTTACAAATGTAACTCCAGTTTCGTTCTTTACTTTTAAGTGATACGTAACTTCAGTATTTTTGGCTACACAAAATTCCTATTCTCCATGGTAATGAGCTATATAGCCTATAGTGCAAAGTCCAATATTTCATTGCACCAATTAACAATAGACTTGCATGTCTGAGATTTTTCAAAATATTGAGCAAGTGGAGAAATGCATAAAAATGTACAATGTATAAGAGCATGCACACACACACACACACACAAGCTCATGTGTATGCATTTCAGAGTGAGAGAGTTACTTGCATCAGAGAATAACTTAGAGGTGTATCCAGAAGCTACATTATCTGATATCAATTTTGTTGGAGGATTCTTCATTTTGCTTTTGGCATTTCCTCTTCTAATAATAAGGAAAAGCAAAGCAACAAGTGCTACTCCTCCAAAAGTTCCACCAACTATCCCAAGAGAAAGAACTGTCTTAGAAACTTGTTTGTGCTTCTTTCTCTCAGGTAATATTCCCACAGCTAAGGCTTCAGTATGACAAAAGGGTTGTGCATGCTGATCTTGATTTGTTTCCTCTAAACAATTTCTAGCATACAAAACAGTCCTATCATTGGAATCTGACACTAAACAATTTGGCAAGCTCCCAGTCAAAAGATTTGAGGATAAATCCACTGCTTCAAGTTCAGAATTGCAAGACACATTCTCAAAAAGCATCCCAGTTAATTTGTTACCAGAAATGTTGAGATAAGTAATTGAAGGAAGTGATAACAGTGCTAACTGGAATGGCCCAACAAATGTATTTGATGAAATATCAAGTCTCTCAAGTTGATAATAAGAGCTCAATTCATCAGGAGCACTAGACCTAAACTTGTTGTTCCTTAGTACTAAAGTAACCAACTTGTTACCACCAAGCCTAGGAAACTGAGGTCCAAAAGCATTGTTATCCAATTCCAACACTTGAAGATTTGTCAAACGGTTCAAATCAGGTACTGATCCATAAAAATGATTATGAGAAAGTGAAAGAATTCTCAGATCCTCCAAGCTACTAAGCGAATCCGGAAGAGAACCATTGAACAAATTGTTTTTCAAACTCAACACAGTTAAGGCTGGAAAAGAATCCAACCACTCAGGAAGATGGCCAGAAAACATGTTATCATCAAGAATGAGTGTTTGGAGATGTGACAATAATGGAAACTCTTGAGGGATTTCTCCATATAGAAAATTTGAACTAACATTAACTATTTCCAGTGATGACAAACGAGCAATCTTACCAGGCAATGGACCCCATATACCAAGAGAAACCAGTGTGAGGACTTTCAAACTTGGAAGCTTCACAAGTGTTGTGACAAAGGAATCTATTGAGAAATTTCTTGGAAGAAGCAAAGCTCTTGTTTCACCAACTATATGCAGCTGAGTTATGGTGTTCTCATAGCACACAACAGTAAGAGAAGATTTTGAATCTGTGTTGCAAAAGTCTGTGTTGTATTTCCAGCTGCTTAAAACAGAAGGAAAGTTCAAAAGCTGTTGTATTCTTAGAAGGGTCTGAGAGTGGGAAGATTGTAGTTGCTCTGAAGAATAGATTGAAAGTAACACTGTAACCAAAACTAGAAGCACTGAAGAATGGAACTTATTTGCCATTGGCAGATTGAACTGAATCAGAGTATGAAATTCTGGATCTGTTTCCCCAAAGGGTGAAGTATGTTAATATGACGGAGAACAAAGAGGAAAAGTATGCAATAGATGAGAGAGGTTTTGTTATATTCTATAAAGTGCTCAAGTAAATCAATAAATGTATGCTCTAGATTACAATATTCTCTAAATTAAAGCTTGATTCTTCAGTCCAAGAGCAGAAGCCCTGCAATTTCAAGAAGGCAAATTAATTTAATCATGCATAAGAAAGTGGCAAGAATATATTGATTAAATGAATGATGCATTACAGTACATAGTGTGAATGAACTAAATATTTTTAGTTAATCCAGAGCCAAATTTCTTCAAGGTTCAAAGATATTCATGATTTCATGGAACAATCAACCAAAAAAAGAAGAAAAAAGTAGTACCACTAAAGAAAAGTTTAGCTATGATATAACTCAACATCAGAAAAAGTTTAGCCCAAGAAAGTGAATAAACAAATCAACACTGCTATGAGCAAAGCAGTGTTTAGAATACAATATATACTCCTATTTCAACTCATACCAAGCAAATCTGATTATTGCAGTTACACATATTCACTAGCTGCTCCAAAAGTCACCAAAAACTTCCAATAAGTCCTTCATAAACCAGTTATGGACCCAACCCAGATTTTAAAATGTGAAAATCTGTTCATCGCAAGTTAAACCACACACAATAAAAAAAAAAAAAAAAAACAAGAGAGGGAAGAAAACAAAAAATTTTAAATACCTTAAGAACTTGCAGAGTCAACCGAATTGAACAAAATCCAAAATCCTTTCAACCATACATTCAGAAACTCATCAATAACATATCTACAAATGTTACTGACCCACAGAAACCACAGTCCCAGGTGTCAGGCTTTTCTTCTGCACACGTTAAGACAAGTTGGTGACACGGGTTGAGAAAGCAAATTGAATGGCCAAAAGATTCACACACTGGACTATTTCACAAACCGACATTTCATCATTGTCATTAATAAATGCATGTGCAAATCTTTCATCCATTTTTCTTCTCTCTTGTTCTGGAAGGGCCAAAAGGGAAGCCATAGCTTCACAAGGAAAAGCAAAAGAAAGATTCTTGCAGAGACCCTTTATTCTTCACTATGATTCTTTAACATATCATCATGTGGAGCTAGTCCAGCAGATTTGGTTGAAACAGCACATTCTGTGTTTTTCTCATAATTTTGAAGTGATATTTGCTAAAGATGGCTTTAACTGAGAGTACTGTAACGTAAACTTTCACTTTCCTTAGCTTTATTATCTCACTTCAACTTTTTTGCATGGCCCTTCATTTTTTATGTATATATACGGTGATTTGCGCTCTTTTTATCTCTCTCTCTTGGAAATCGACAATCAATCACATGAGTCAATAAAATAAAAACAAAAAATTGATAGGTTGATTTATTTTGTTTCACCTAATATAGATTATGGTCAGTTTATTTGTACTATATTTATTTTATCGTCATTCGATTATAAATAGAATTAGAGAACCCTAGCAATATTTACTTCATCGTCATTCGCTACAAGTCACGTGATTATAAATAGGATTAGAGAACCCTAGCACTTATTCATGAGCACAAGTCCAAACTACTAAGAAAATAATAATAATAAACCAGATGCGCACAACAATCTAGCCTCTACGGGATCCCAGTTGTCTTTCTGCTAACGCCGCCAATAAGGGCTCTTATCATAATGTGGAGTATAAGTCATATTCAACATTCTCCCAATGTGTCATTTGCTATGTTGTACCAATATTGACATGAGATATAGGACACACACGATACTCTGATATGTTGATTTTAAAAAATATTAAATTTTGACAAGTTGAAATACTTTTTGATATTAAATATTATTTTTAATTTATGTAGTGTATATTATATTTAATATTTAATAATTTAGCAAAAAAAGAAACTAAACTTATAATATCCATCAATTTTGCAAAAAAAAAACATAGAATATCACAAATATTTAAATTAAACTCAATAAAATGATAATCATAATTCAACGAATCTAATAGTTAGAACTAAAAACGCAATGCAACGTAACATTTGAATTCTTTTTTGAATCTTTACAACAACTCAGTGTTGAAATATCGGAAAATGTTGGACATTACACGTCAGATTTTTTGAAGAATCGATGTATCATATATTATTTTTATATGATATTATTAAATTGTGCCGTTGTTGTTTGTTGATCATTGGATCATTGAAGCAAGAGCTCTTGCAGCATATGTTCCCTTGTTTGTGCTCACTCTATTATGAAGAGTTGAGACATTCACATCAATATACAACAAGGTTTAAGGAGAAGAAGCAAAACCAATTGCTTATATTAGAAATTCTAAACAAAAAACTTGTGTAGCACTAGAATAAAATGTGACGGTTAAATCTCCTGCTTCCTTTTATTTTTTTATTTTGACTGGTATAATCGCAGACGTAATTAAAAACTAATTTCTTAGTATTAAAATCATACCGGAATGCCGGTCTGGTTCAAATAAGAACCAGACTGTCAACCAATCTACTTATTCCATAATTATATATATGAACCGATGTGTAACCGGTTGAACCGTATGTAAATCATGTCCAATTGGTATTTAACTTACTAATTTTTTGAAATTTTGTCCAAAATAATGAAAGAATACACGGAATTAACACATGTAAAGTTTACCACTAACCAACAAAAATTATACCTTATATTATTATATTTATCATATATTATTATACAAATTTAATTTAATCGATTCAATCAATAATTTACCGATTAAACCTGTAATTCAGTACTTCAACTGAATTGATGATCAATTCGAGTTCAACAATACTATTTTTTTCTATTAAGAGAAGTAATTAAGTAAAACGCTCAACAAAATAGCGAATTTAGAAACCTTTTAACATTATAAGCAAAGTTCGTCTAAGATTGTAGTCTAGTTCTACTTTGACCAATTGTTTTGGATATATCTTTTAGCTTCTTATACCATATTACTGGTTGCAAAACTTCTAAAAATTGGCATATTTGATATTTTATGAAAGTTTCCAATATTGTGAAGTTTAGAATGCGTTTAAAAAAAAAATTAATAATTTTTATGCATGTAGGTTTAAATAAAAAAATTATGAACGATTTTTTAAAATTCATTCAACAACAATTATAGTTATACTAGTTACTAGTTAGAGCTAACTCAACCTGTAATATCGACTACTATAATAAGTTTTGTTAAAATTAATGACATACTTGACTTTGAAAGCATCAATCTCTTTTTTAATTAAACCATTTTTGTAATAAAAAATTTAAAATTGATTTAAAATATATAAAGTATTTAGAAACAATGAATTTTAGTTACTCTAAATAAAAAATAACATTTCTAAAATTCTATTTCCAAAAACATTTTGAGAAACATGTTTTATAAAACTAAATAGAAACCTGAAATTTATGATATTTTTGAGGTCCCTAAAAAGCAAACCACGTATCTGCCAAAAGACTTCACTGGCACATGGTTGTTTGTACCTTACTTCCTGAATGAAATATTTAAATAAAAACTGCCTTTAATTTTGAATTCTCCTTAGTGCCCAAAAGAAATTTAATTTGAGAAACAAGTGAATTTCTTTGACAGAGAACACCAGATACCTACATTGTAATTAAACATTTTTTTTTATAGTTTGTAATGTCATTTTCTGTAACTCAATCATCTGTGACATGCCACAGGAGCATTAATTATGCATGCCAGCTAATTCATTGACAGGACAGATTTGCCTTGCTGACAAACAAAACTATACCCTCCGGCGTGTTTGGTAAATGGTTTCACATGAGATTGATGGGTAACTCAAGGTGAGAATTGTATCAAGCCATGTTTGGTAGAAAAGTATCAAAAATTTGTCTAGGCAAGTGATTTTCTCGTGAAATTAGTAGTGTGTGCAAATTGTGCCGAAAAACCTTGTTTCAAAATATCATCTTTGAGATGGTTTTTGCATTTGGATGGGTAAGTGAACAAGTTGGTGTCTTCTTTGTTACTGAATTGCCCCCAACCATTTCAAAAGTGATGATCGTAGAGGTTTATATATAAGGGTTATTTTGTAATTTTGTCATATTTTTCCATCAAAATTTTATCTTAACCAAACATGGACTCAATATATTTAACTCAATTTTTCCAGTAAAATTTCGTTCAACCAAACAATTTTTTTTTTAACTTTCCTACCTAACTCACTTTTCAACTATTTCCCTATCAATTACATTTCCCTAATATTCAAAAAATTTCTCCTCGACCAAACGCCGTCTCAATTATTTTTACCTTGCAGATACGAGTTGAAAAAATAGATAACACTTATTCATATTATTTTTAGAAAAATAGAAATGTTATATTACATTACAAAATTTATTTATTTTTACACATTCAAAAACATATGGGATTCATTTTAATTTTTTTTCTATTTTTATATAGTAGGACCCATAATATTTATATATTTATGACATAATATAAGAAATATCATGCAATATCATATTCATAAAATCTTTATTTTTATGAGAGCTGTTGTTGGACCTTTTAGGAATAGGCTTCTTAAGTATTTATATATTGTTATTTTATAATAAATATTTAAAAAATTGTTAAATATAAATAATATTGTTCTGGTCACTGGGCGTGTAATACACGAACTCAGCTTTTGACACACATATATATATATATATATATATATATATATATATATATAAATATTTCTCAAGCAGCTTGAGATATATTTATTTTCATTTATTTTAAAATTATGTTGTTTTGTTTATTTATTTTATTATATTAATTGATTCATTTCGAATGATTATTATTATTTTTTCTCTTTCTTTCTTTATCACCATTGATTCATCTTTGTACCATTATGAGTTCATTTTTCTACAATAAACCTAATACGATATCGTTTTGAAAATAAACGCAGATAATTTATCTGCAATAATTTCAGAAATATATATATAAATATATATATATATATATTGGGTGGTGGTAACAATTGATAATGGTTTTGATAATGTTTGAAGGGAATGGATATGTTTACAAACTTTTTTTGAAATTTTTTATAAATTACACTATATTCTCTCAAGAGAATATAATGTAGTTTGTAAGAGTTTGTAAACAAAAAAGTTTGTAAATATAACTTCTTCTGTTTGAATTATATCTTGTCGGTGCGAATTCAAGTGTCACTGTCACGGCTCACAAACACATCCCAACATGGAACACGGCTCAACAGCAAAAGGTGAAGAATATATATGGTACTTTTTTTTGGGTAGAAATTTAAAACTATTATCATTCAACATCTTCTTCCGGCCACCCAACTTTGCCGGTTGAGGTACCTAGGTTTATATGGTATGTTTTTAGGTAGCATTTCATTCTTAGTAGAAAAACAATAGTAATTATATGGGAATTTTTAATATTGTTAATTGTTTGATGAATGCACACAAATTAAAAGTTTTATAAAATTCATGTAGAGAATAAAGAAAAATTTATTATAATAAATATTATTTGAGTATTATTATGTATGCAATAAAATTAGATATTGATTTTTTTTTTATCATGAACAAGATTTAAAAACTTAATCTAACGAATAATGAAAATTTAGAAATTTATGTTATTTTTTGTTCTGAGCACATGA